GTGCATGACATAATGGCTTGAATCATGATCTCAAGAGATCAAATAAAACATCTTGACCTAATTACATGGCTCAAGACATTTCCAAAATACAAGTGATTGATAGTTGAGGAATTGAATCAATTGATAAAAAGTCAACAATCACATAAAAAGTCAAACTTTAACTTTTTGGTCAACATTGGAATTCGAAAACCAAGAATCACCAAGATATTCAAAACTATAAAACTTGATCATCAAGAATAAAAAAAGTCAACAAAAGTTAAAAGTTGGAAAATTTTCCAACACTTAGAAAAAATTCTAAGTGTTTTGTTCTTAACAAAGTCATTACTTCATGGCCATTTTTCACTAAAATCTAAGTTGATTCAAAGAAAACTTTCAACATGGAAGTTGTAGGGATTGATGAATTCTAAAACTATGTTAATGAGGGTTGATTTTCAAAAAATTCTTAGATTAAGACATATGGGCCCATGAAGTTCTGATTATTTTTATCCAACACTTAGAAAAAAATTCAACAAATTTTGATTAGTTTTTTATCTCAACTTCTTGGCAAATTTTCACCAAGTTCCCATTTGATTTAGCCAAAGTGGTCAACATGAAAGTTGAAGATCATGTTCTATGCTTTCCAAAATGTCCAAGAGCATAAAAAGATCATGCTTGAGCTAGGAGATTCGAAGAAATGAAATTGGCATTTCATTCTTGAAATTATAGGTCATTTCTTTGATAAACATACAGCCAAATATCATAACTTTGCTACTCAATCTCACTTTTCAGGTTTATTAGCTTGCAAATCTCTCTGTAATCATAAGATTACACTTGGTTTATGGCTATTATACAAGTGGTTCAAGTTTTAACCAAGACATTTTATTATTTTGAGAAGAAAGTTAACACTTCCATTTTGATAAAGCATGCTTTTTACGAAATGTCAATGTATTGAGATTTGTAATGTTTATATTTGATCACAAGAAAGCTCAAAATCATGGATCAAACCCTCTGCACCCAACAACTTTAGATCATGTTTGTACTTAAGCATTAAAACCATGGAAACTCATCCAACTTGATTTGTCACTTTCAACCAAACCATAACATGCTATCTTGAAAATATGGTTACTTGAGTATTCCAAACTTCTTGCCTATAAATGAAGAGGTCATTAATAATCCATAGCACAAATGGACAAGCCTCTTAAACCTCTCATACTCTCAAAAATCACAAAACCTCCATTTTGAGCTTTGAAGTCCAAATCATCGAATCTCTTAACCTTGCAATTTTTGTCCAAACTAATAATCCTAACACTTCATAAACATCATATATAACTCATCCACATCCCTGTTACACTTCTATAATCACTCCATCATCATACACCATTTCCAATTTTTACAATTGCAACTTGACTTGGTTGGAGTGATTCAGCCACTTTTAGCATAAAGTAAGCATTGGAACACGTTCAGAGAGGTCTAAGGAAGCTTAATCAATCATCACATTACTTCTGTAAAAGCTATAAGAAGCATTGGACTTTCACTTTAAGAGTGAAAATAAGTGGCATGGCTGAATTCATGTTCAAATTTCAAGCAAGTTTGGTGTTTACACTTTTCAAAAAGATTGAGAAATGAAGCTTTTAGAAAATTCAAAAATGTTGGTGTTATTGTCTGGCGCGAGGAAGAAGAAGAAGTGGGAATTCCATTTTTGGAAATGAGTTTATAATATATTTACTTGGGGCGTTTCATAACCGGATGAAACAATCACCCCAGTGGTAAGACAAGCGCGCTATGACCTGAGGGACCTGGGTTCGAGCCCCAACGGTACCCTTTTATTTTTTTATATGTTTTTCTTGCAGATTTAATGTGAATAAGCCCAATACGCATACCATGCATCGTTAGCCCTCAACCACTTGATCTCAATCAATCCAGATCTGATGTTACTGGAGATTTTCCCCATGGTGCACCCCATTGAGCTTCCCACATTGAATCTCACAGGCGCCTGGGCTCCTTGAGTTGGGCCTGAGATTTTTGCTTCTTCTCACCCCCATTGTTACTTGTTTACTACACCCAGGCATATTTTACTTCTTTTTTATTTTAATTAACTTTTTTCTTTTCTAAATCATTTTTATTTAATCAGAAAAAATAATAAAATCACAAAAAATTTAGATTTAGGTTTTAATTAATTAATTTAATTTTCATAAATAAAAATTAATTTAATTTAATCACTTTGTTTTACTTTGTTAATTAATTTGTAAAATAATTAGAATTAGGTTTTGTTATTATTTTACACGATCAAATATTTTTCTAAACAAAAATACTTTCTTAAACCCTTAGATTTTTTTTAGGTCTTAAATATTTTTCCTCTTCATCATCTTCGTGCATTTGCTTATTTTTGCACTTATACAATTATGTAATTTCTCAAAGCTTGTAATAGATAAATTAGGATTTTTTTTCCTCCCCAATTTATGGTTTGTACTCCCCATCCCCGAAACGATGTAATAGCGTAGTTTATTTCTCGCATTTTTATTTGTCTGCTCTGTATGTATATATAAATGATAGTAATTAGGCGCGCATGGCATGGCCTAAAAATCAACTGCTAGATAACCCTAACCAAGACAAAAATAAACTGAAATCAAAACATTATTCACACACGCACCTCTAGGGTAACCTCACTTGTTGCCTCGGATTTAAACAGTCATGTCCCTCGAATGTGGGATGTTTTAGCAAAGACCCTCAGTTAAAATATCGTAGTCCCTCAATGACCCTTTGATGTTGCCTTCGGTAAATGATCTTAGTCCCTTACGAAAATTACTAAAGTGTCCTACAAGTTGCCTTTCATGATTGTACGATGACCCATGTCTGTCCCTCACATCCAATGATAGGGCTTCCTACTAACTAATGGTAAGATAGCACTATCTAAAGGAGGAGGAAAAGGACAAAGACTATTGAGTAGGTAGATCGCTCGTAATCGCTTGCTCACAAACTAAAACAATTTTCATACCTCACACTTTCAAAAATAACTACTTTCAAAACGCTTTATAAACACTCTTGAGGACTGATACAAGGGTTATTATAAAGCAAAAATGCCTTTGGAATTTTTCAAAACACTTTTTCTTTCAATAGATATTTTTCAAAACAATAATTTTGTATACATTCTCAATGATACAAAAATCATTTCAAACATACACAAACACAAAGCATTTCAAAAAGTGAGCTAGTCATTAAGAGCCCGTAGATAACTCCGGATGAAAAGGGTGCTAACACCTTCCCTTTTCATAACCTACCCCCCGAGCTCAGAAAATTATCAAAGGTCTTTCCTATTCTTTTCACCCTTTACTTTATTGGATAAAAGAAAAGTCGATGGTGACTCTTGTTATCCGTGACATTTATGATAAAATGCAAACCCAAAAGTCAGTTCTCCCGCCGTATTACAGAAATGGAAACTCTGCTTGGGATAGTAAACTAAAATTGGGGTTACCTTTAGAGCTAGTTCACCTTTATTGCTTTACTTGCTTACTTTGTATGATTTATATTTTGGGATATGCTTGGGTTTATTTCTTCTATAGATCCTATACCCGGATCTAGGGGCATTTTAGGTAATTAGCAATAGATCATGAAAACTGTACGGCATAGACCGATATGGTTGAAACGATGGCTACGTTAATGCGACACATTTGTTGGTTCCGGTGTCCCTTGAGTCAGTCAAGGAGAATGCTGGGCTGCCGCGTGGTGTCATAAGCACTAACTGACCTTAGAACCTTAGTTGACACAACTTAGCCATTAGAAAGTAGTGATATGGCCGACTTTGGTGTTGACTGAAGTTGGTTGATACTCGATACTACACTCATTGAGATTGGACTCTCGGGATATTTCGGTTGCAAATTAGATGCTTGTGCTGAAACAATTCCCGAAAGAAAGATCAGTGATATTGAGGCTCCTAGAACCCGGTTACTTCTTTTAGGACAGATTGAGCCAACTAAAACTTCAAGAGGGTACTTACCTACAAACTCCATGCAAGTTTAAACCTAAGGGCTTGTATGCTTTGTTTCTGTATGATTCATTGTTTGATCATGACATCATAATATCATGACATCATATCATATCATTTTCACTAACCATTTCAAGGACCTAGTGATTTATTTTTGTTCTGTTTGTAGGATATGGCATCCGCTCGCAGAAACACTATCCGGATCAGTTTTGTGAGGATACCTGTTGCACCCCAAAATTCGCCCTCCTAATTGATGCCTTTATGTGGCTTAGGTGTTGCATTCATTCGCATACCTTTAGGATTTACATTGCATCTGCATATCACACATTTTCATACGATAAAGTACATGAAATTCATAAGTTCAGTATTTTTGCAATATCAGGGTTTCATAGTGGTTGGCATATATATTCAATGAGGCCTATTTCTTTCTGACACTTCTAGTTCTTCAAGCAGTGGAGTGTGAAATTAGGGTTGTGAAGCATGATTATTGTGGACTCCTTTTTCATCGAGCTAACAGGGATATTTCTCATTAAAATTCACCAGGGTCTTGAATCAGAGTTTATTTCTCTGTACTTCTCAAAAGAATCAGGGTTTCTATTCATTAGGTTTGAGAAGTGGCTTTAGTTCTTCAACTGAGGCTCTAAGACTTATCAAGGAAGTTCCTCGAGGGCCTTAATTTTTGTGTTGTAGTCATTAGTTTACAAGTCAAGTGTTTTGTGGATCAAATTGTTAAAACTTTGGGTTTTCTTGGATCAAAATGATTTGCAAAATATTTGTTGCTAGAGAGTTAAGGATAAGGTCATTTGGTAATTATGAGTGCAAACCATATCTTGAGAGAGGAACTTGTATTTTCATTTTGATCAAAGGAATTGTTTGGTTCTCATCATTGTTACTTGCTTCTTGTACCATAAGTCAATCGGTGTTCTCTCTCGAGATAATATTCTTTTGTGGTTCATCCATGAATATGCATCTTTTTAGGCTTGGAATTCATCATTTTGATTAGTTTGTTGACTAAGGTCCACCTAATGTCTGCTTGTTTATGTTTTTAATTCGGAAAGATTGGAATGTTCATTTGGATTTCTTAAAGAAACAAGTCACAAGATTACTAGACTTACATCATACACGATTACTCTATTCAAAATTTAATATCATGCATTTCAAACTTATTTCAAATATAAAAGTCCCACCAACTTACATAAAATTCAAACAAGTTTCTCTATATTCAAGCGAGTATAAAACTTCATACATAGAAATCCCTAAGGCATTTTTCCTAGCATTCAAATTTCCAAATCCTGATTTAATCTTCCAAACTTCCATCAATCTCCATGTCATAGCCACTTTTGTTGTTGTATGTTCAAATGCCAAAACTTTTGCTAAAAAACATCAAATTTCATGAACTCTTCAAGCTTTGCCTGGGACCTTGCTGCATTCTGCAAATATAATCAAATTTGATGCCTTGACCGCAGCATTCTTGAACCTGCATAAAAAAAAAGCACATCAATTCAACAATGTTGTCCAATGAAGACTAGTTTAACCTTGCATAAATCAGTTAATCAGTGCTTTAGCAGCTTTGCACATATAACTTCTATCAATTCACAACTAGTCTAAAAATGCAGCAATCAGGAATAGCCAAAAGTGGACAATTGCAGGACCAAATAAGTTAATTTGTGCAAAGTTCCATTCAAGCAAAATTTGAATCCAAATGGTGCCCAAGTCATAGAATTGGAAGGAAGGTTCGACTACCAGCAAGGGAAATAATTCAAAACCAGTTCAACAAGAATTCTAACAGATGTGAAACAGAAAGTCTTACCAATTCAAATCAGTTTTCAGCGTCCGGAAGGATCATCACAAATTTCCAGCCTACATATGATTCTACAAAAAAAAAAATATAAGCATTCAAATTTACTCCCAGGTGGCAGGCTACGGATCAATGCACATAAAAAAACTAGTGTTTGCAATTCAGGGACGCAGGGAATCTTTAATTTACAAGTGATTCAGTTTATGCCTTGCTAAGCACAACCTTACAATATTGAGTAGTTACCTAGTTCAGTTGGTTGCTAAACCGAAACTGACCTTCAATCCCCTGGCCCATCGAAAACATCCCCATCTGTTGAATAGCTATTTCCAACCGTGCTAACCGTCAAAGTTTCTAGTTATTAACAAAATTTCTAAACGCCTAACTAACTAAAACCCAATGCTAACAAACTATCCTAATAAACTAACGTAGTTGACAGAATTTCCTAACTAATTCTCAAACCGAAACCAACAACCCTCTAACTAACTCAGTTTCAAAACTAACTGTAATTAGCTCCTAACTTTAACCAAGCCTAACAGAGAAATGAAAAACAGTTAGCCAAATTCCAACTAACTCCCAATCTGAGATTCAAATCTCCACCCTTCCTCTCCTAACAGAATTCCTAAAAATCCATGGCTCAGATCAGTTCAAAGGCTAACTGATTTTTTTTCCCAGCTCTGACAAACTCCCTAACAGTCTATAACTAACTCTGCACTTCATCGACCTCTATATAAAACTCTCCCTCCAGTTCAGTTGGGAGGGCTTCTTTTTTTCATTTTCCGTTCCACCTTCACTCTCTCTTTCTATCTATCTATCTCTCTTTCTCTCTCGACTCATAATCTTCTCCCATCAACTTCACCTTCAACCTTCATCTCTGAACCCTTTATCAACCAGAATAACCATCCTTCAATCTTCGTAAAGCATCAACACAAATCTCATCGCACATCAGCGCCTTATACAACAACCATCTCACACTCTCTGCAAGGCTGAGTTTATTTCTCAGTATCTTTGTTATTTGGAACTGGAAGATTTGTAACAGAAAATGAAAAGGGCAAGAAAAAGTAGCAGAAGGAAAATTGAATCAGACGAAGAAGAAGAATAAGTTCAAAGGCTAAGAGGAGTGTTCGTACATGAGAATTCAAGACTCTCTGAGTTTCCGTTGGTGTCGTCACCGTTGAAGAGCCGTCGGAGCTACTCCGACACGGTTTTTCTGAAAAGCAGAGGTGATATTTGGTAATGGAAGGAAGGGACAAAGTGGTTAGTGGCCGTAGATCAGGTTTCCAATGAATGTAGGGGAGGTCGTAGTGGCGTAGTATGGTGGCGGATCGGAATAAAGGATAAAGCGACGTCGTTGGGGTTTGAGAGGATAGAGAAGAAGTGTTTCTCTCGTGAAACTGAACGACAGCAATAACCCTAGCTGATTAAAACGGTTGCATTCCACCATGCGTTCTTTCTTTTTTGTTTATTTATTTATTATTTATTTAATTCATTTTTATAAAAGAGGGTTGAATAAGTAAAGGAATGTGTATTGTTTGGAGGTAGAGTTGGGCTACAATAAACATGGCCTTAGAATGTATTTCTTCTATCCAATTGATTAGTTTTTTTTATAATAGTTTTGTGTTGTACCCCAAAATATTCCCTCCCATATTCTTCAAGGTTTGTCAAAAATCATCTTCAAATGGTTCAAGACTACTCAAGGGTTGCACAGTCAAACCACCTCCTAAGCTAGTCAAAATTAGGGTTTTGGTTCTTTCAAGGAATTGGAGGTTTTCAAGGGTCCAACCAAGTCTCATGTGCCTATATACATTCTCAAGCATCTACATATCAAGTCTCAAGATTCACAGTGTCAAATTGCACAGTCAAAAGCCTTATTTGATCCATAGTCAACTGCAAGGGCAAAATGGTCATTTGGCAGTCAAAAGTCAGAATTTTTGGTCAACATCTTATTTTAAGCTCATAATCATCATTTGATCAACTCTTGATCATGATTCCACAAGCATGGCTCAAAAATCATCAAGATGCCAAAAGTTACTATTTTTGGACAGTAGAAAAGTCAACTGTATCTTGACCAAGGCATAACTTTTTCATGGTTCATCAGAAAAATACCATCCAATGCCCATTTTGAAGGGGATGACATTTCCTACAATTCATCTTCACATTCCAAGTCCAAGGAATGCTCTCACAAAAAGTTATCAATTTCTACATTATACGTCAATTTCAAAAGTCAACAAAAAGGCATTTTAAGTCAAAGACCATAACTTGATATTGGTAAATCTAAATGACATGGGACCAAAGGCATTGGTTAGAGGACTTCAAGACCTTTCCAAAATGTTCAAGAACATGTTCATATGATCAAAATTGAGCAAGATATGCATTTGAGAAGTTGGGAAATTTTTGTGAATTTGCAAAAGTCAACTTTGCTCAAAACACCTTGTTTTTGCTAATGGGCCTCAAATTCCTTCTTGAAACTTTATTCAAAGCTTATGCACGACCCATTGAGATTATTTGAATTTATTTTCTTATTTTTATTAATTAATTGGATTTTTTAATTGATTTTAATTCATTTAATTAATTTAAATTGTAGGAAATTCAAAGATATGGTTTTTCAATCTTTTTGTGAAGCAAGAATGACCTAATCATGCTGGCAATTTCGTGTATCAATCAAGGATATCAAAATCTCCAAGTTTGGCAACTTTCTTCAATCAAAAAGATTCAAAAATATTTGATTTTCAATCAAATATTGAATCATCATTCCATGGATCTTTGGTGCAAGATTGTAACCTAATTCAGCTCTTCTATAAATACACAAACCAACCCTAATGCCATGGACGTGAATTTGCTGCAGAAAAACCATAATCACATTCAAGAAAATTCAAAGAAAAGTGAAAACTGTTTTCCAGGTTCCAGGCCAATTCGAAGCAATTTGTGGATTCAAACACGTTGCTGGAGGTGTGAGGAACGTTTTGCAATCAAAACCACACGCTAAAGCTTAAGAAATCACTCTAAACAGATTCACGGTTTGCATACTTTTTTCATAATCGAAACTCATGATTCATGCATCATTAACATGATTTTTTGTGTGTTTTGCATTGCTAGAACTCCCATGAAGCTAATGGTATAGGTTAATTGAATTATAACACGCAGAATCGCAAAGTGCCATTAACGAATTTTAGGGTTCATGAGTTCTTGAAATAGGGCTTTCCAAATCCAGTAAAATTGGGAGCTCTAAGGCATATGGTTGAGACCGTCAGGACGAGACGAACACAAGGCCATACTCGCGAAATATTTATGTTAATCACACGCCTAATCGCTATTATTCCTCATGTTAAATTGTGGGGGTTAAAAACCCCCGCTATCCATTTGTTATTTACAGGCATCAGCGAAGGAGATGAAAGCGTGTAAGCGTATCATTGGCTGGTTCAAATAAAAGGCGCGCTTGTTTTGTGTTGCAGCATATTTATTAATTTTTATATATTATATTTTCTTCTTATTCTTATAACAAAGCGTGCAAGTTGGTGGAGTGGTTGGCCAAGTGTTCAATAGGCGTTGGGACCTGGGTTTGAATCCCAGGTCCCCCAAGTAATTGTTTCTATTTTTTCTTACATATTCACATGCAGGCATTTAAAGGTGTTCCATCATGCACCTCAAACAATCAGGCGCCAGGTGGCCACATGCTTAAATCTGATGGCCATGAGATGCTGACCATGGTACTCCTGGTCAAAGTAACCGTGGACAATTCCCCAAGGTCAAACAGGCTGGAGAGCTTAATGGGCCAGATTTCCAAACAAACCTCCAAAAAGGCCCAGCACCCCCCTGGTTTCTTTATTCTTTTCTTTTTTTAATTTCTATTTAATCTTTTCATTAATTATTATTATTATTAGTATTTAATTAACAAATTACTTATTTTCATAATAAATTCAGAAACCTAAAATATTATTTATTTTTATTATTTATTAATATCACTATTAATTATTATTTTGTAAATAAATACTATCAAAATTGATTTAGTCTTTTAAATTAGGTTAACTTTAATCTTTTTCACAATAAATAAAATAAACCTAGAATTAGGATTTTTCTTTTGACAATTTTAATCCTTTTTATTTTATTTTCATTAAAGACCTAAAAAACTAAAAAAATACTTTTTTTAATTATTTAATTAATTAGTAAATTAGGTTTAATATTAATTAATTGCAAAAAGGACCAAAATTCCATTCTTTTCTCAAAAAGGGTCAAAACCCTAAGACTTTTCCCGATTCAATTTTTCTCGCGCATGTTTATTCTTGATTATTATTTTGATCATATTTATGTATCTGCTCCGAGAATGTAATAGATAATTAGGACTTTTACCGCTTTATTTAATTTCCCGCATTTACTTTTCAAGGGTTATGTTTTTGGCGATGTAAATACCCGACGCCTTGTAATAGCATAGATTTAATTTCCGCAATTTACTTTCCGCACAATTATTAACTGTTAACTATGCATGACAAGACTTGCCTGAAAATTAAAATCAACTCGTAGCTCACCATAATACTTGTGCAAAGATAATCTTAACATGAAACCTGACACTCGCACATGCCACTCTTAGGGTACGCCTCACTTGG